GTGCAGCAACCGATATTCAGAAGTATCCTCCCTCTATACGTGAAGTTCTTTCTAGCCAAGGCTACTCACCATTGATGGACACATTCTCCGTGATCTGTTTAATCCTCTTTTAGAGCTATCCAAACCTTCTACTGTGCGAAGAGAGAAAGAGGGCATGACAATTAACACTAAAGCTCTTGCTAGCAACTTTAATACCCAAGTGTTCAAGGATATTTCAGTAGCAGAAGTCGTCCTGTACTTTTACTAGCCATATGGAAGTCAGCCGATGTGGGTCTTCAATAATTTTTTAAGAGATGGGCTGTAAAGAAGTGAGAACCCTACACTTTGCTCTGAAGAAATGTTCTGTAGCTTAGGCCTATGCATGCTTACTTCAAAGTTGCCTTAAATGGGCAGATGCAAATATAAAATCACGTTTATTTACTTCATTTATTTCCCACCTTTCTCCCTAATGGGGACCCAAAAGCAGCTTACCCTCGTTTCTTTTCAGTTTTATTCTCACAATAACCCTGTGAAGTATGTCAGGCTGAGTGTGTGTGAGCGGCTCAAGATCACCCAGTAAACTTCCACAGCAGAATGGGGACTTGAACATGGAACTCCCTGACCTTGTACAACATTCTTACTGATACACCAGAGTGATGCTCCTTGTTATGGAGATGACACGCAAGACACATTGATGGAGCATAAGGACATTTCAAGTGCAAGGGTTTACTGGACAAACTTAATGCAGAGAAGTTCTTAGAGGGCTGGAATTTCTGTTATAGGAGAACAATATTAGCTTTACAGAGAATAGCTTCAGTTCTCATGCAAAGCAGGGGGAAAAAATCAGTTCTGAAAGTGGTTGGTTCAGGTAACATTAGTTCACCAGGGTTGTTTTTCTCTCCAAGCAATCAGTATTTATTATTAATGACATTAGTGATTTTATTGCAACCAATACTGAGCACTTAATGCTCTCTTTTCTGTCAATAAATGCATCCCCTATGAGATGCAATACTGCTCAGCGACACTTGGGAGAACAAATCAATAATTTACTAGCCAGCTAAAAATTCTAGCTTTGCCTTTAAGTCTGCTCCACAATTGGCAGTGCCCTCCACTTGTGGACCCCCTGTATCCATTAAAAGGTCTTGTGCCAACAAAGTGATCCACGTGCCAGACTGGCATGCCTGTGAAATCGTCATTTATTTTTAAATTGGCCGTAGAGACCACTTTTGGGTACAGAACAAAATTCTGAAGGAAGCCTGGACAATGAAAGTAGAGGCAAATACTACCATTCACCATCATGCAGTCAAAATTCCTATAATGTACATGACTCTTGTTTTTTTTTTTTTTAAAAAAATAGCTACTAGTCCATATATGTGTGTGTGTGTGTGTGTGTTAGAAATGCTGGAGCTGGACTGCACGGCACTGAATGACCTCCTCAAATCCTAACAAGAGTTGTTTCAGCAGTTCACTACTGGATATTGCCTACAAAACGTCAAGATTGCTACATATGTTCAGAATTGGAAATCTTCAAAAATACCCATAGTAGATGATGGTTGTTAAAGACATTGGAACTTGCAGAGTTATTTCACTGATTAAAGGCAATATCTACATTTATTGCTAACTGGAGACCCCTTATTGACTTTTTGCATGAAAGAGAAAATAATGAATTGATGACTTGTGGATTGGATGACTAAGGAGAATTTTAAATAAGAGAAAAGAAAGTGGATGTGAGGGAGATCTGGTTGTCACATCTATCACTCCATTGAGCACCAGGGTTGATTCAGCTGATCTGGCTGGCTAGGTGGGTGTCCCCTATCTCATTCACTGGTCCATGTGCATCCCTCCTGAAGCTGCATGCTCAGTTGGACAACCATCCCAGATAGGAGTGTACTGTTCTTTGGTCAAGTGTAGAAAAGAAAGAATCATTGATGTATTGTTGTTATAATTTTAAAGTAGTCATTAACTTTAGATTTAGTATTAAGTAACTGTATTTGTCTTTGTTGTTGATTTTGGAAGTTTTGCTGGTATGTTTCTTTGAATTCTTTTTTCTTGATTTTTTTTCTTTTTTTGCAATATATAAGGATTAAAATCAAATCATTTATAAATCAGGGAAAATCAATAAAAAGTTACCTTTCTCTCTTGGTCCAAGGAAAATACATTCTCAATGTGGTTTGGAGCCAATAGCAAATAGGATGTCATAAGGCAGGTCAGACAGGCAAGCAGGATATGAGCCAAGCTATACAACAGAGTCCAAAGTCCAGACCAAATAGTCACAAGTCAGAGATACATTACCAGAGGAGTTGTCCAGGTACAACAGTCAGGAAGCCCAAGGGTCATTCACAGTCCAGAGGTTCATAAAGTCAAAGAGCTGGTCCAGGGTCACACAAGTGAGTCAGGTTCAGAGCTATGGTTGCTGAGTCTAATAAAATGACTTGTTGCTTCCACAGGCACACAGGTTTCCAGAGCTGGTTTTTCTAGGTACTTCCTAACAAGCCCTCATTAGCAGCCAGCTGCCTGGGAGTAACTCTGTAGCTACTCCAAGCTGTTATCAGCCAGCAGCTGGTGACAGGCCATGAGACTGCACTCTGTCTCCTTGCTTGTAGTTCCCTTCTGAGCCTCTGTCTTCAGTGCTCAAAGGGTAGAGTTGAGCCTGGTGGGCTAGTATCCAGCTGAGGATCACCTGCTGCATCAGGGCTGGTGCTGGTGACTTTGAGCCAGCTGCTGATTGTGAGCCTTGATGAGCCTGCAACTCCTCTTCTGCCTACTCAGGGCTGGCTACACAGAGCTCTTCTCCTCCTGAGGAGTCCCTGCTGCTGTTGAGCTCTGACTATTCCAGGACACCCAGCTCTAGCTGGCCCATGACACAGGAGTGTCTAGTGCAAAGTATTCTAATCCTTATGTCAGGTTAAAGGGGGGGGGGTTTGGCATGTGACCAATCTCGTTACATTGTTTTTTAATGATTTATAGATTTGATTTTAATCCTTATATATTGCATTAAAAAAATTGCATTCATCAAGATATTCTTGAATACTTTTACAGACCCATAATTGAAGTATCGTTCAAGATACAAGTACCTGAACAGGGCAGAAGGTATTTAAGTTGAGGTCTCTGTGTCATATCTCTCCCTTGAGTCACAGAGATGTATTATAAGTAACTCAAGCTATCTCTTTAACACATCCTTTTATTATATTCATATTTATGTATCTTTTCTTTTTCTTCCTTCCTACCCCAGAATAATTTTCAATTGGTCCTAATTTTTGTATTTATTGTATTATTTGGAGCCAATGTACAATATGTCTGACCACCAAGTAAGGCCAAATTGGCTGAAACGCATATGGTATATGCTTGATACTACTGTATGATTTTAACCTGATTTGAGGCTACTATTTGGGCCTATATCTGTTTTTATCTGATTTGTAATAAATACATGTATTTTTGTATAATTGATAATATTTATGTTGTACATTTATAATTGCTATTATTTGCACCTTAGAATTGCTGTAATTAACCTTTTGCTTCTGAGCCCAAGAACATTAGCCCATGGGTTTGCTGGGATTCTCGTTTGATGTTGGTTCTGTTTGCATTTGGAGGCTTTTGGCCAGTGTTTGCATGCTCTTGTGTGTTTGGCTATTGGTTTTGCCCTAGAGAAAACATTGAATTTCCCCTCCCCTTCCCATGTGATACAATGGAGACAAGTAGAATGACTGGAGGCACCTTTTTCAGGGGCCTATGAAACTGGACACCTTGCTCCAATTTGCTTGAAACTTAGAGGCGGGTCTTTAGTGTACAGACAGAACTAGATCTCCTGTAATTGTAATGTCATTTGGCTGAAATACAGCTACACTATCCCCATCTCTCACATGGAATAGTGGAAGCTGAATAATTCCAGAATCAACCCACATCCCAAAACCTCAATAACCCAAAATAAGTGTATTTATGTCCTACGTAAAAGCCAAATGCAGAAAGTACCTCCCCCCCAATATATATCCCTGCTTACACATTCAATTATTTGAACAACAATATGTTTGTTAATACAGACAAGCAATTCTCTTTCTTTCAAGACATCTGTGTAATACTTTTCCCCTCTCATACACAGAAATGTAAAACTGTTTGCACATTAAAAACTGGGATCAAAGCCACGAAGGAATCTGCTGATCAATGTTTTACATGAGGAAAGAAATGGAGCACTTTTTAAAAACTGAAGCATGGTAGCAAAACATATACTTGCAATAGTTGTAAGCCCCAAATAGGAATAAACACTCTAATTTCACTGGAAAATGCAACTACCTTATTGAATGATGTATGAGGACCATCTGTTCTCTTTATCTAGTGCAACAGTGAAAGGATTTTCTGGTGAAGGGAATACATAACAGAAACAGAGTTCTATGGAACAAATGAGAAAAATGTTTATTAACACAATCTGACAAAAAATCCAGACTCAAAGCCACTTTTTGCAATGTAACCATACCTGCGACATATGATTTGAGGATGGCATTTAAGAAATATGGAAAACCTCCCATAATAATTTTTTTACAAAGTATGATTTTGTTTAATTTATTTGACAGATGGACTTGAGCGTACCTGTTGAAATCATGTATTTGTTTAAACTGATAGAAGTACAAAAATAGAAAAGTTCTGTTGCATAATCAGAAGTTATTCTTCAAATGACAGCTCAGGAGATCTTCTGGAATTAGATCTAAACAGTACTTTTTACACAGTACAGATAGTTATCCTCAACTAGAATAAAATTACTAAAGTTGAGTGGGGATTATCATGGAGGCTAAAACTGTGGAGTGCAGTTTTCTGTAAATCAAATGCTGTTGTACTGGACTCAAGTACTCAATTTTTAGGTCAGCTAGATTTAGAAATATACTTCTTTAACTCAAGCAGAAGTGGAAGATATTTGTATAGAGTCCATTCATTATCCTATAGTTTTATGCAAGCTTAGATTTTACTTCATTTATGGCCTTCTGCCAAACACAAAAAATAAATCTTAAATAGTTCTTAAAATGAGGAGGCTGCAGAAGTTTTTAAAGTTTGGTTTTTTTCTTAATCTCTTCCTCCCAATCAACGTCTAGAGCTGCATCATCAAAATCCGCTAGTGAGAACAAAGATTTCCCTGTAACTTTGCTGACTTCTGTCAGCTCAAAGCACTTTCTCGTGTGGCCTGCACTTTCAGTATGGTTCTTCAGTGGCAGCCTCTGCCTTTCCTTGTCATAGCTGGCAACAGTTAAGGGAGATGGAGTCTCTGGTTTGGATTCAGCAGCTGGTATGAAGGAAAACCTGGATAATTTTTCCAATGTACTAGAGCACACTTTCTTTGTATTGAGTCCTTCCACTCTTTCTTCTCTCGTTCCTTTTGTTTTTGTAGAAGGTGGGGACAATGCTTTCCTTTGCTGCTGCTCCTCTCTGTTGCTATTACAGGGTCTTTCCTCCATACTATTATTGCTGTTGTTAATATCGTGTTCTTCCTGGTGCATCTCAGAGCCTTTTCCCCTGGTCCTGTTAATATAGTGCTCTTTCTGGTATGCCTCAGAACTTTTTTCCCTGGTCCTTTCTCTCTTTGATACTTTCCTGGTAATACTTTGAGGGCTACAAACTGTCTCCAGCGATCTGGCAGGATTCTCATTTTCAGAAGAGTTAGCAAGCTTTGGCTTCTGCCTAAATACAAACTTGGCTAGTTTAGCAATTTTTTCTCCAGATTTCTCTAGGATCTCAGGCTCATCAAAAGTTCCTGTCACACCTCCTTCCTTTAGTTGATCTCTGCTTCGCTTCCTGATTGAAGTCACCAACTTCTGATTCATTGACAAATTGTGAGATGGGAGAACGTTTGAATCCTTTCTAGGAAACTGCGGAGAAACTGTTGGATGGGTAGAAAACGGAGCAAGTCCACTTCCATCCTTAGGCTTTGGTGTACTTGCACAAAATCCTTGAGACCTTTCAACGTTCAGACCCTGCCATTTCTTAGAGGCTCTTTGGGTAATCACCAGACCAGGTAGTGTAGGAAATGCTGCACCTGGGCCTTCGTGGCTTGCTCCTGAAGGAAAGCTTGGAGGCTTTTCTTTCTTTTCCCCATCAAGGTCAGAAACAATTGCCTGTCTGCATGTATCCCCTGGAGCTGTTCTTGTTGGTGAATTTTCCAACTCAGCATGATTGGTTTCTATTAAATCATCCTTATCTTTAGAATAAGGTTTGTTGTTTGGTGCTTTCAAAGTCAAACTATCTTGAGAGGTTCTGGCACATGGAGGCTCACAAATGCCCTTCTCAGTTTCAGCACAGTTACCCTCTATATTGTCAAACCAGTGTAAGCTAACATCGCTGGTATTCTTGCTATGTTTGCTCTGTGGTGGTGGTAGATCAGATGTCTGGCCACTTAAGAATCCTCCTGGGTACCCATCACCTTCAGGGTGTCTTTTGGCTGAATGAGGCTGGAACTGAGTATGGTCCACCTCATCAGAATATTGCTGATGAGATGTTTCTTCTCGTTTCTCAAGTGTGTTATTGCTAAAAGATGCCTCAGTACCATTTTTCTTGGCCTCCTGAGACAGCTGAAAATGGCATGAATTTTCACATTGTAATCTACAAAATAAAAACACAGAAAAATATAGATATAATTTTATAAAAGTAAGAGTTTTTAATTTTGATTTTGTTTCATGAGCTCAAGCTTATTTTTTTATTTTTATTTATCAAATGAGTTCTAGCCCCAAACTTCTTGCATTCCACAGATACAGAAAATAGCAATTGTACAGCTTCATCCACCTATTAACCCAAATAACATGCCAGGGAACCTCTCACAACCAGTTGACTTGTCTGAACTGTGATTTGTTTTAAATGTTTATTATTGTGTTTTAAATTTTTAACTTTATTTATTGTATTATTACATGATGTTACCTGCCCTGAGCCCACTAGTGGGATGGGCAGGCTATAAATATAAATAAATAAATAAATGAACAAACGATAATTTTTCTGTAACTGTAAATGAACAAAATATCACATGGACAAATAAAAAAACACTCCATGCAAACAAAGTTTTAGTTAGATTAAATGCAGGTGTTGATTGTGGTGGATATCTTTCATTTTTAAATAGTAATTTCAATATTATGGACAAACATTTTTTAAATTGTGTTATATTCAGATAGTTAAAAGCCAATCTGATACAAGTCTAATGCAGTCTAAGTAGTAAGTTTTTTTAAAATGTAAAGTAAATACATACCATACATCCACTAACAGCTCAACAGTAAATCAGTTACTCCTAAAGGGTTTTGCAGCATACCTGCCAGATCATGTTACAAATATTAACTTTTAAAAAATCCATTTTGATGGTAGAGCTGTCCAGGTTATTTCTTTGAGTTGTTTATTTTAAGTGTCAAGATATTTATCCAGCTTTAACACATTTGCCTTTAATGATACAGAATCAGTAGCACACATGTGGAATGGGTTAGTCAGTTGGGTCCTCTTGCTAACAAATAACCAGCTAGAAATCTGTAGTCATTGTGTGTGCCATTCATCACTTTTAAAGCATCTTTCATTCTATGGGATATGCAGGGTGATAAGAGATGTGAAGCCTGAATGAGAGAGCTGAATACTGTCAGATGTCATTTTCAATCCAAAGACAATGTGTGTATGCATGCAGGTTGTGCAAGAATGCATGCAAGCATTATTCTAGCTTGGTGTCGTACCAGAGTAATAAAAGTCCTTTGGGTGGTGTCAGGCTTCCCAGTCAAGACACTCAACAACGTTCCTTCAGAAGTTTCAGTTTACTGAGGACTAGTACTTAGGACACCATGAATTCTTGTGTCAGGAATGGTGGGCAAATGAATTGAAACTACAGCTATACCCCCCTTCATACATGACCCCCTGATACAATAAAGCCAATAGGCAAGCACCTGAGAATGCGGGCAAAAAGCAATGGTTATGTTCCCAGCGGGAAAGCAGGGAGCTAGCCGAGTAAAGCCTTCAAGGAAACCAGACAGATAACAGTGTGCAGGAGAAAAGAAAGGGGGATGGGAGGAGGGAGACATAGAGAGCAACCCACACATTCCACACCATGGCAGCACTAGCTGACAGGTGGATTCAGATGCTGCTGCTTCTAAGTTCTGTATGTGAAACCTACCTCTTCTTTGGAAAGCTGGTAATTTGCAGTGACTGGGCATATAATGAAGCTAACTCTAATATTCCCTTGTTACACCCACATTTCTGCACAGTATTAGGGATACAGCTTCATTATGCAGTCAGATAGTTCTTAAAATTGCCTGGCCGTGTGGCTATAGCCAGTGCATAGTAAGATTATGGTCATCACATGATACTGCATTGCCTGTAGTTTAAACATTTCTCTCTTTCTCCCTCTTTCTCTCCCAGGTGAATGATTCTTACCTGTCAAGTCTTTGGAGTTCATCACACAGAATGTCCTGTAGCTCCAGCTTCTCCAAGATCAGTTCACACTGCATTCGATATTGTTCCCTTGGGTTTTCAGGAAATGAAGTGTGCAGTGCATTGACACCTCCAAGTAATGAACCCCCCTACAGAGGGAAAAAAACTTTAATTGGGTGCATGTGTTTGAATTCCATTAATTAATTTTAAACAGTCGCATAACTTGCTATTTTTTAAGCGAGAAATAAAATTATTCACCCACATAACCCTTTGAGAGATCACATCCTTAGTTACTGAAAAGTAGCATTAACAGAGAAAGGTCTGTTAAGGCCCTAAAGAAATTGTAGCTTCTTTATGAATACATTTAATAAAGATAAACAGCCTGAAAGAAAGCCTGGCTTATAGTAAAAGCACAGGATGTGAAGGAAGGAAGTATATTTAGGTTCTATGCCACTTTCTGTCAATTGCTGTGATTCTACTCTTCTGTCACTAATTCTCTGTAAAACTGAGATAACAACGTCTGCTTGGTTCTTAAGAGATTAATTAACTTTTGACATCATGGTAATTGAAAATGGGGGTCATCCTGCTAACCACAAGGAGCTGCATATGAATATATAGCATTTTCCTTACTTCCCATATAATGATGATATATTTTATAATACTGCTTGGATAGCTGTTGTACATTCCAAATGAATCTGTCAAAAGTGAATTACTCTCTTAACAGCCAGTCAGATGTTGTTATCCCAGTTCTATAAACATCGAAAAATAATATGAAAACACTCAATTCTGTAGGGGTCTTATTAAGTAACCATTTTATTATTATTATTATTATTATTATTATTATTACCATTTTATTATTATTATTATTATTATTATTATTATTATTATTATTATTATTATTATTATTATTAGCTTTTAGTCTGCCTTCCCCTGTATACACGAGACTCAGGGTGGTGAAGAGCAGCCATGCCATTTTTACAAATAGTTCCTGTATCCCAGACAATTTCATCCTTAGAACATAGACAGGACACCCCAATTCCAGTGACCTACTAGAAGTGAGATAACAGGAGAACCATGTCATCCCAAGTGCTTTGTTTTCCAGTCAGCATCACTTCCTATACTGGAGAAGTAGCTTGGAGGCAGTCAGTGGGAAGGCAGCTGTGGCTGGGGGGAGGTTTGGCACTCCTCACCTACATGGCCCCTCTACTTTTAAAATCTGGCCCACCCTCAGTGATTGACTGTCCTTATTTAAACATACAGAACGGCTACTTTCATGTTTACTAGGATCCATCTTTTGTTTTAAACTAAAACGACTTTCTAAAAACACATTTCACAACAAATCATTTCCAGAATTTTCCTAGCCTTAACTTGCTCTTCCATGATCATCTCTGCTACTTGGCATCAATTCCTGATCTCTGTCTAAATGTCTAGCTCCAATGACCCTACCCAGTGCTTACTGTATAACCAACCACATTCCAGTATCGATCATGTCATTTCTGTACAGCTCCTAGGACACAGCTAGCATTATATAAATTTTACCTAATAATGACTTACAAAGCCACTTAAGGACAGCAGATAATTGCTATGTATGAAAAAGAGCTTTCCATGAAAGGTCACGAGTATGACCAGAGCAAGATACAGAGGCATCTGATCCATAGGCTCAAATGTACAAGAACTGAGCATGTCACTCATGGAGTTCTCAAAACTGTGGGCATAGCCCCTTTACAGTGTTCCTTCTAGTGATTATGGTCAGTTGCACTACACGGGATTGTTACTTACTTGCATAGAGGACTCCATCACTGAAACCACAGTTACCGCATCTTCCACAGTCACAATATCCCTAAACATCAGTCGGGCATGAGCTGATAAGAGTGTTAAAAAATTAAACAACAAATCAGTAAAACTGTAGAGCAAAACTGAAAAAACTGTATTACCTACTCAGAAAGCTAGAGGTAGCACTACTCTAACAACTGTTTTAAATAGCTTGAAAAAAACAACCCCCCCCCAAATCTTTAACATATTTTGAAATATAAGAATGCAGAAAAATAGAAGGACAGCAGAAAAACAGCAGGGGTGGCAACCGTTGGATACACTGATGATATTTTCTAGTTTTTATGATTGACTTGGAGCACAGTCTTGTTGCTCAGAGCATGGCACAGAATGACTCGTCTGGCATAACATGGCAACTTGAGGCCTTTCACTCATCTTCTTGAAGGATCTTGGTCCTACTTAGAAGCAAAACTAAGTGCTGTGGCTTGGGGTGCGCAGGTGATGGATTTTTACATGATGTACAAACGCACACGCTCTAACAACTTCCTTGCTTCCCCCTCCTGCTTTAGCACAAATTGTCCCTCAAATGCTGCTTCTGGGGATAAGCCTCCTGCAGAACAGAATTTTGACAGACATTTTGAACTGAAGTGAGAGATGGGAGGTGAGGAAGCTGCATATTCCACTGGTATTAATCCTTGTCAGCTGAAACACCACCCAAGCTGTGGTAGGGCCTGGAACGCTCTATGATGGTGTCTAGAATGCCTCACTTCGGAGTGTGATTCATTTCCATAGGAAAGTTCTTGCCCAAGTTCATGTTTCACGAGGAAGGCATTAAAAGTACATATGCAAGTCAATGTGGTCATTGCCTTGAATGTACAGCAATGCTGGCACAGACGTAGTGCACAAATACACATCAAGGACATTCTCTAGATGTTATACCTAGCATATGGGGTGTCATCACACACAAGCGGTTTTTTCTGTCACCTCCATACAATATTCAAAATGGGTTTCAGTTGTATCAAAATTGTATTTAAGAGCCAGTCTAAAAAGCTGCATGACCTGTTAATTCCACCTCTTCCATAAATCTTTAATAATATATTTTGCACAATATAACCATTGGAAAAGGAAGGGGAAAAAATGACCAAGGTCTCACCTTCAGCTAACCGTATTAAACTCTCCAATAGGCGGATGGTAGTTCGGGCAGCATTTCTGCTATCGCTTTGCCGCTGCATCTGGTAATAGCGGACAAGAATTAGGTTGCTTTTGTCAGTCAACACTGGCTGTAGGCTCTTTATAAGACAGAAGTAGGTCTTCATTTTTTCCATTGTCCACAACTTTTCTGACACACTTGGACAGCCTGTATAAACATTAAAAAAAAAAAAAACTACATGAGGAAACACATACTTTGTACTAAAATGCAAGAGAAAATAAAAATATATTTGTCACTGGCTCAGTCCAAACTTCATACAAAACTGCAGTTTAACTAAAATAACTGTCCAAATGCAGGCCACTCCACTAATTATGTTTAGTTGGGGTACCCCAAACCAGGATGTGAAATCAAGATCACCATGGAACAAACCAAGATTAAGTGAGTATGTCCGCATTATTACCCCATGAAAAGTTACAGTTAAGGCTAACCGTGGTTAATAAACCATTTAGTTTTAACTATAACTTTGCATGATGTACAAATACAGACATCTTGACTTAACCCTGGCTTGTTCCCCACTAAACATTTGTTGAGGCAAACCAGGATTCAAGTGACCATCTGTGAAACGAATCCTGGTTTTACAAACTAACCATAGTTAAAATAGAACCTGGTTTCATGTGATGTAATAAGAACATAAGAAGAGCCCTGCTGGATCAGACCAGTGGTTCACGTAGTCCAGCATCCTGTCTCACACAGTGGCCAACCAGTTCCTCTGGAGGGCCAACAACTAGGGATGGGCACGAACCAGCTCATGAACCTTTGTTCATGATTAATTTTGACCGGTTTGTGGTTCGTCAACTGCAGCCCAGCCACAAACCTCCACAGACTTTTAAGGCAGTTTGTGGAGGTATGTGGGGAGCAAAAAGCAGGGCTTTAAACCCCTGCTTTCTCCTCCCCGTAAAAGCTGCCAAAACAGCTGAGTGCCGGGAGCAGGCTGCTCCTGGGCAGTCAGCTGTTTAGACTGGAAAGGAGCCAAGGGCTCACTGCCCAAGAAGCCTCTTTAAACAGCTGAGCCATGTGGAGCAAACTGCTCAGCTGCTTAAATGGGCTTTCTTGGGTTCAACGCCAAGCCATTTAAACCCATGCTTCCTGTTCTCTGCGGCTTTCCACAGGGAGCAGAAAGCAGTGGTTTAAATGGCTCAGAGCTATTTAAATCCTTGCTTGCCCCTCCCCGTGAAAAGCAGTGGGGAGCAGAAAGCAGGGGTCACAAACCCATATGAACTAGTCCAGTTTGTGAACCAATCTTCCAGTTCTTAGATTGTTTTGTTTTTCAGCCATGAACCATGAACTGAACCGCAAAAATGCAGTTTGTGTCCATCCCTACCAACAACAGGGCATAGAAGCCAAGGCCTTCCCCTGGTGTTGCCTCCTGGCATTGGGATTCTGAGGCTGACGGCCTCTGAACATGGAGGTTCCCTTTAGTCACCATGGAACAGCTGAGCCATGTGGAGCAAACTGCTCAGCTGCTTAAATGGGCTTTCTTGGGTTCAACGCCAAGCCATTTAAACCCATGCTTCCTGTTCTCTGCGGCTTTCCACAGGGAGCAGAAAGCAGTGGTTTAAATGGCTCAGAGCTATTTAAATCCTTGCTTGCCCCTCCCCGTGAAAAGCAGTGGGGAGCAGAAAGCAGGGGTCACAAACCCATATGAACTAGTCCAGTTTGTGAACCAATCTTCCAGTTCTTAGATTGTTTTGTTTTTCAGCCATGAACCATGAACTGAACCGCAAAAATGCAGTTTGTGTCCATCCCTACCAACAACAGGGCATAGAAGCCAAGGCCTTCCCCTGGTGTTGCCTCCTGGCATTGGGATTCTGAGGCTGACGGCCTCTGAACATGGAGGTTCCCTTTAGTCACCATGGCTAGTAGCCATTGATAGACCTATCATCTTCCTTTTAAAGTTGCCGATGCCTGTGGCCATCACTACATCCTCTGGCAGCGAATTCCACATTTTAATCACTCTCTGTCAGATCTGAACTTAAAAGTGCAATTCTATGCCACATTAATCCAGTCTAGTGGTTTAAATGACTCAGAGCTATTTAAATCCTTGCTTGCTCCTCCCCGTGAAAAGCAGTGGGGAGCAGAAAGCAGGGGTCACAAACCCATATGAACTAGTCCAGTTTGTGAACCAATCTTCCAGTTCATAGATTGTTTTGTTTTTCAGCCATGAACCATGAACTGAACCGCGAAAATGCAATTTGTGTCCATCCCTGCCAACAACAGGGCATAGAAGCCAAGGCCTTCCCCTGGTGTTGCCTCCTGGCATTGGGATTCTGAGGCTGACAGCCTCTAAACATGGAGGTTCCCTTTAGCCACCATGGCTAGTAGCCATTGATAGACCTATCATCTTCCTTTTAAAGTTGCCGATGCCTGTGGCCATCACTACATCCTCTGGCAGCGAATTCCACATTTTAATCACTCTCTGTCAGATCTGAGCTTAAAAGTGCAATTCCATGCCACATTAATCCAGTCTGAGAGCCAAACTATCTGTTATGTACAGCTCTAAAACTGGGCAAATATCTCCCGTAGGAGCTGCTTCAGCTTGGAAAAATAGTGAGGAGGCGAAGGCAGGAGCCCCTCCTCCCTCCACACTGCAGCACTGAGCCAAATTGGACTCCTGCAGACCTTTAAAATGCTATTCTCTGTAGCTGCTGTGCAATGGTGGAGAAAGTCAGGGGAACACACATATCCACATAACCAATGCTTAAAATGGTCTTAGACTGAGTCCGACTATTTATCTATGCAGGTCAGACCAGCATTTCAACTCAGAAAAATGGCGTATGTGTGTGTGTGAGGCTGGAGCCCCCTCCCCAGGCACCACAGTCCCAATTTGAATCAGGTATGTAAGTTTACCACAGCTGCAAGTCGGGTCAGAGGAACATCGTGATGCAACTCATTAATAGCCATAGGGTATAGTTTGTTCCTTACTGGCATCACCAAATATACAATGCTTTTATATTTCAATAATGACAGGATTTATGAAAGCAAAAGCTTACACAAATATATATTATTTGACTCAATAATTTAATGCACATTCATCTGACACCAGGGGACAGTGGCTAAAACTCAATAAGGAAATATGCAGGGAAAGCAGATCAGGTCAGGGTTCTGGCTCATTAATAAACATATCTTGTAGTATAAGCCTGGCTCCATCTAAAATCACAGTACATTCAATGTAATCTTGTGCATTCCAATTCCAATAAATTTATCTATGCAGGTCAGACCAGCATTTCAGCTCAGGAAAATGGGGTGTGTGTTATAGGCTGGAGCCCCCTCCCCAGGCACCACAGTCCCAATTTGAATCAGGTATGTAAGGTCAGAGGAACATCATGATGCAACTCATTAATAGCCATAGGGTATAGTTTGTTCCTTACTGGCATCACCAAATATACAATGCTTTTATATTTCAATAATGACAGGATTTATGAAAGCAAAAGCTTACACAAATATATATTATTTGACTCAATAATTTAATGCACATTCATCTGACACCAGGGGACAGTGGCTAAAACTCAATAAGGAAATATGCAGGGAAAGCAGATCAGGTCAGGGTTCTGGCTCATTAATAAACATATCTTGTAGTATAAGCCTGGCTCCATCTAAAATCACAGAACATTCAATGTAATCTTGTGCATTCCAATTCCAATAAACATTAAAAAACCCAGGTTGCTTACCTGTAACTGATGATCTTCAAGCAGTCATCTGTGCAGTCACACACTGGGTTTTGTGCTGAAGCCAGATCCTCGCCGGGAAGCTTCAAAAGCTTTTAGATAAACCTCTTGTGGGAGGTATTTGCTCTAGTCTCAGGGTACAGACGTGCACTGAAAATCCCCCCCCCCCCCCAGTTCCTTTCCCATGCCATTAGCAAGAGATTTGAACAATATGAGGTAAACTAATCTGGAGATGCCAACAGTGGGGAAGGTTGGGTGTGTGTGTGTGACTGCACAGATGACCACTCAAAGATCATCAGTTACAGGTAAGCAACTTGTTTATCTTCTTCGTGGTCTCTGTGAGAACCACAACTCAGGCACAGATATTATGTTATAAACAATATACTGGTCCCATGTCTTTCAGCACCAAAAATAGTTTAACTTCTTAAAACAAGAAAGAAATTATTAATTTTTCAAAGTGTCAACGAAATATAGAGTTGAGAACCGCTTGCCCAAACTTAGAGTCCCTTCTAGCTTTCATGTCAAGAGCATAATGTGCAGCAAATGTGGATGGTGAGGACCATGTCTCTGCTGCACATATATCTTCCATGGAAACTCCCTCCATGAATGCTGCTGATATTGTGACCGCTCTTGTTGAGTGAGCCTTCGGTATGCAGGGTAACTTCTTCCCTGCCAGACGATAACACATTTCATTTGCAGAAGAGACCCATTTAGAAAACCGCTGTCTGGAAACTGGTAACCCTCTATTTGGATTTCCATAACATACAATCTGCTATCTTTATGGATGGGTAGTGTCCTTGATAAGTAAAAAGCAAGAGCACGACGAACATCTAGCTTGTGTAACGCTCTTTGTCCCTCATCTGCTGGTGTGGGGAAGAATGAAGGTAGTGTTATTATTTGAGATAATGAAATGGTGACAACATCTTTGGAAGAAATGATGGGTCCGGTCATAGAACCACTTTGTCCCTATGGAACACTGTGTATGGTGGATCTGCTCTTAATGCACATAGTTCACTAGCTCTATCAGCCAATGTGAGGGCTACTAATATTGCTGTTTTCCAAGATACAAGCTGGAGAGGGACTGTAGCCATAGGTTCGAATGGTTTTGTTATTAATTTAGCCAAAACAAGTGATAGGCTCCATGCCGGTACCAATGGCCTGTGGGGTAGACGGATATGTAAAAGTCCCTTGAGAAATCACTTAACAGTAGGATGTGAGAAAATAGTTTTACCGTTTGATGATGCATGTTGTGCTGTTATAGCGGCTAAGTGGACTTTCATGGATGAGAAACTTAGTCCCAGTTTGTGTAGTTTGGTTAAATAGGTGAATATTATTGATAATGAGGCAGTAGTGGGGTCGGTGCCTCCTTGTTTGCTTATGTAGTACATGGTTGCCGTGTTGTCCGTGGCAACCTGGATTGACTTGTTCCTTAATATTGGTAGAAAAGAGTGAAGTGCATTTCTGACTGCTAGTAGTTCTAGG